CCTCTTTTCTGTAGTTGCGAGAAGGCAATTATGGGAGAAGATTGAAGCACTTGGACTATTGATTGTTGAACCATGGGTAATCTCAGGTGACTTTAATACAGTGTTATCACCATCTGAAAGAAGGGGAGGAAACGAACCAACTAGATATGAGCTTCAGGATTTGGAGAATTGCTGTGCGAACATGGATCTAACGGACTGCCCTTCTACTGGAAAATTTTTTACGTGGAGAAATAGGTATATGGAAGCCAAGCTGGATCGGGTACTGATCAATGATAGATGGGGAGCCAACGGGTTAACATGCATGGCAGACTTCAAGTTGTTGGCATGCAATTCAGATCACTGTCCCGTAGTTATAACTACGTCCATTGCTATAAGTGACGGAAAAAGGCCATTCAAATTTTTAAACATGTGGCTCACACACCAGGACTTCAAAGTTACTCTTGAAAATGTGTGGAGAGAGCATGTGGAGGGATCGAAGCAGTATATTCTGGCCAAGAAACTTAAGTCTCTTAAAGGACCTCTTCGCACTCTTAACAGAAATGCGTTCAGCCACATCTCGGAGAGAACCCGAGTCGCGAAAGAAGCCTACTCTGTTGCGCAAGATGAGTTGGATGTCCTAAACGCGAATGAACAAGAGAGGGCTTATGTTAATGATCTTCGGAAGAGGGCCTTGTTCTTGATGGAGGCTGAAAGACGGTTCTTTGCGCAAAAATTGAATACAGTCCACTTGGTTGAGGCAGATAAGGGATCACACTATTTTCATAGCCTCATAAATAAAAGAAATGCAGCGTCAACTCTAGCTGCAATCCTTGATCAAGATGGGAACCTAACTACTTCACTCAATCAAGTGGGCAGCTTGTTTGTAAAATTTTTCTCTGATTTATTTGGCACCCCAAGAGAAAGGAATGGAACGGACAATACATATTTTGGCCATGGCTCCAATGTCTGCCGATCAAGCTTTGAACCTTGTGGCCCCAATCTCTAAAGAAGAAATAAAGGAAGCTTTATTCTCTATGGGTAATGACAAAGCTCCGGGGCCCGACGGGTACACTGCCGCTTTCTTCAAAGTTAATTGGAACCGGATTGGTTCACTGGTCATAGCGGCAGTGATGGAATTTTTCAGAAATGGGCAACTGTTGAAGCAATGGAATCATACCGTTATTGCCTTAATCCCCAAGAAGATGCACGATCAAAGGGTCGAGGATTTTAGACCAATCGCGTGCTGCAATGTTTTTTACAAGATAATAACGAAGATAATTGCAGCACGCATGGGACGAGTACTGCCGGACATTGTGGACCAAGCCCAAGGGGCTTTTGTAGGTGGGAGATCGGTGTCTGATAATGTTATGCTTGCTCAGGAACTTATAAGGGGATATTCAAGAAAAAGAATATCCCCGAGGTGCATGATAATGGTGGATATCCGAAAGGCTTATGACACTGTTAGCTGGGATTTCTTGAAGGAGGTTCTGCATGGGTTCGGGTTTCCGAGTATCTTCACTGAATGGATCATGGAGTGTGTAAGCACAGCATCTTTCTCGGTGAGCATTAATGGTACTTTGCATGGAAAGTTTGATGGAAGGCGGGGATTAAGGCAAGGGGACCCCATGTCCCCCATGTTGTTCACGTTATGCATGGAATACTTCACAAGAATGTTGAAGGCCAAGACTGCGAGCCCGATGTTCAAGTTCCACCCAAGATGTTCTAACCTCCGCATAAGCCATTTGGCTTTTGCGGATGACTTGATGCTTTTTTGCAGGGGAGATGTAAGCTCGGTGGGAATAATGATGAATGCGTTGAATGAGCTCGAAGGGACCTCAGGGCTAGCGATTAGTGCTACGAAATCGAAACTGTTTGTGCTGGGGTGCGTGATGACCTTAGCTTCACACGCATCCTAATGGCACCTTGTTCGTTACCTTGGGGTTCCTTTAGATGCTCAAAAGCTAAAGGTATCTTGCTACACCCCTCTTTTTGATTCCATTAACAAGTATATATCTGCCTGGAAGGGATTTTCTTTATCTTATGCAGGTAAGCTTGAACTGATAGCCAAGGTGATCCAAGGTGTGGTAGCATACTGGATGCAAGAGTTTTCTCTACCACCCACAGTTATTGAAAGCATAATTTCTATATGCCGAAAATTCCTATGGGGTGGAAAAAGGGCTCTTGTATCATGGGATGTTATCTGCAGGCCAAAAGATGAGGGCGGACTTGGCTTGCGAAATTTGAAACATTGGAACAATGCGTTTATGACAAAAACACTCTGGAATATCCACACCCGGAAAGAAACGTTATGGATTCGTTGGGTCCATGACTTTTATTTACGGAATGTGGACTTCTGGACGTGGAATCCGGGAAGAACGAGTCCGCCCTCATGCGTAGTTTGGCGAAGGTTAGGGACCTTCTCGTAAGCAGATTTGGAACCACTAGTGACTGTATCAATAAACTGGCCTCTTGGAATGGACCGAATGGCATTAATACTTCGGCCGTGTATGAAGCAATTCGT